TCTATCCTCAATTTCCCTCCCACTAATGAGCTCTCTCTCTCTCTCTCTTTTTGTTTAATGTCCAGCTGGTTTTGACTTTTAAATTTCTCCTCAAACTATCATTCCAATGTTCTCTTTAGCTACATAGCTAATTCTAGGTCCAGGGTCGTTTTTTTTTTTTTTTTTTTTTCTTAAACTTTAACATCATCCCTCATTGGCAGTATCTCTGCCAGATTTTTCTCTATGACACTCTTGACGTAATATATTGACAACCTAATAAAAAGAGGAGCTGCTATTCAAATCCAGATATTCTGATTTTATCATTCATTTGCTAGAAATAAAATATTTATCAAGCATTGTGTTAAACTATATATAAGAGAGCAAATACTCAAATACTCTCTCTATATATGGTGAGCAAAAACAAAATGGTCTTTGGATTTCTTGAGCTTGAGGTTCAATGGTAGAGACATAAAACATCAAGTAAATAAAAAAAAAAAAACTTCAAATTTGCTAAATGCCCTGGTGACCACCAAACTTTCTGGTATAAATACTGAGTCAACTTTAACAAAGACATTTCCATAGCAAGAGCATCAAGGAATTGAAAGACTGAACAACTGAAATGGCTATTTCCTATTATAAATAACTTTTATAGAAAAACTCTACAGTAGAGCCCAATATTCATGTAAGTGAGTTGAGGATGCTTTCTCTTATTAGATGTTTCTTTTTCATCTTTTTTTCTTACACGAGGGTAAGTCTAGTACAAATATAAATTTTACATGACTGGATCAAGAGAAAAGTTCTCTAGCCTTCCTTTTAGGCTCCCAATTCCTCAGAAAGTATTTTGCAAACCTGGTACCAAACTGGACTTTGTCGATGGTATGAATTTGTTAGAAATGATTTCTAGAAGGAGTGAGACATAATCTTTCTTGATTATTTTAGCACCGTTCCTTCGTGCTAAGTGTGAGCTCATCCACGAAGAAGTGACGGCAGCAGGGTATTCACACGTAACATTTTAAAGTACTTAGCAGTTTCAAAATCTCTGGTAAAGGACATTGTTGAGAAAAATGTTAGTAGCTCTATATCACAATGACAGCTGACTTAAATCTTTTACTTATTACTTGCTCTGGGGATCCTGATAGTCTATTGTACTCCTATGTAAACACCTGATATCAGGTGATGTGAACCCCAGTGGTAGTTCCCTGACTTCATTCTACAGGATTATAAATTACCTAGCTGACGTGGCTGTCGTAAAATCTGTGCTTTGCTTCCTGGAAAGCAAGCAGGGCAGTAGTGGGAACCACCACAGCCTACGCATGGGTTAGCATATCTGAACTAACCTACGTGTTTTCTGGCCCATAAATACTGTGTCATCTATTGCCACTCTTAGTAAAAGCTCTCGACTTGGTATGAAGGACAGATTTATTATTTATGTATTTATTTATTTATATTTTTCATAATTATAATCTGTTCTTTTATTTTTGCCCTAGAAAGTCACACAATCTCTATAGGTAGGCCACTTTCTTGGCTTGTGTTAACATCAAATTTGTTGTAAGATGAGATGTATCCTTAAAGGCAGAAAATAACAAGAGGTAAGGCCAATGGAGAGAAATATCAAAAATCGGTGACTCTAGGTAAAACGTATACAAAAATGGTTCACTGTACTATTATTCATTCAAGTTGTGTGTTGCTTTCCAATTTTTCAAAATAAAAAGTTTGTGGGAAAAAAAACAGTTTGTCTTTACTGAACTTCATCATGAACAGCGCATGTCGTGAATTTCATGAAAGTTTCACAACTACAGTTTTGAAAAGGATAGTGCAGTTCTGGCATGTAAGTGGCGATGATCTCATCCAGCAGTTAGAAACTTTAAACCTACGAAGCCACAAGTAATAATGCTAGTGAAAATGCATGCTCCTCATTCGCATGCGCTCATCGAGTATCCTTTGGGAAGCGCAGGCTTTGAGAGGCCTAATCCCAGCACCTCAGATCCTCAGTAACGCGGCAGTCTCGTGTGCAGGAGCCTCTGTTCTGCTTCCAGCAGGATAAATTGAAAGCCTTTCAGCATATGAATTCTAAGCAGCAGACTGACAGCAAACTGTAGGATGTGCCCAAAAGCAGTAAAGATTCTCGCTGGTTCCAGAGTAGGGCCCGTATTAAGGTGTGTTTGTCGTTTTCTAGGACTCCACAGTGAAACCGTCCCTTTATATCCCCTCCTTTTCTTCTTTTACCATTACCCATACCACACCCTTGTCACGAAAGCTAATTTATTAATTCATATATTCAACCAATGATTTCACCTTTTTAGTATATGCAAGGCAGCAAAGGAGGCCTTGTTTACTAAGGTGAAGAAAACACAGTCCTTTCCCTGTGGTACCAGGACAACCTGAAACAGGTAGAGAAGAAACTCCCAGCCCTGGCTGCACATAAAAAATCAACTGGGACCCTTTATAGAAATGTGGATGACCAGGCCCTACCCCCACAGAGTCTAAGTTAGTAGGTCTAGGGTAGGATATCTGTTTTTAAAAGCTCTATTGGTAAATTTAGTGAGTGCCTAGCGATAAGACAGGTGTAAAAAGACTCACAACTCAGGTCCTTTATTGGCACAAAGACTACTGGAGTCTAACAACACCCTAAATCATTAGAAAGGCAGGATTTAGAATCAATCTCTTCAGAGATAGAAAGAATATTAAAGGTCATATATCTAGCTCCCCACCACCACACACAAACACACACACACACACTCCCCTAACACTAAATCCTAGATTCCTCAGCATGCCTAACAGACTGGATAGGAGTCTATGCCTTCTTGTTGCTCATGCTCTGTGATTTTGCAGGAATCTCACACTCACCCATGTCCCAAATAAAGCCTGTATCTCTCCTCAACAAATCTGCTTTTCCCTTACTCCTTTTACTTCCCTATTTCAGTAAAAAAAAAAAAAAAAAAAAAAAAAAAATTTGCATCCACGCAATTCTGTAGGCCAGAAAACTGGGGGTCTAAGTCTCATTACTTCTTGCTCCCAGATCTGTCTCCAATCCACCCACTTCTTTCCAACACCACCACCCCCATCATCTCTCACCTGGTTTGGAAAAAATAGCCACCTGCCTAATGTCCTCAATTCCTTGCCCCCCTCTAATTCATTCTCTACTCAGAAGTTATCTTTTTAGAATGTAAATTAGAATATGTCACTCTTTGACTTAAAATTCTTCAATTGTGTCTCATCACCCAGTGAATAAAAGCCAGATTTCTAACGTGGACTACACGATACTTGGTGATCTAACACCTGCCTGCCTCAATTCATCTATTCATTTAATATTCTACTCACACCAAACCATTTTTCATTTCTCCAAATCAGAAAATGATTTCCCATCTCAAAGGCTTAATACACACTGTTCCTACTACCTGGAAATGTTCTTCCCCACCTCTTTATCTGACCAACTTCTTCTTTTCCTTTAGGTGTCATTTAAAATATCCTTTCCTCAGTGAGAACTTCCCTTACCCCTAATTTAAAGGAGGGCTTCCCTGTTACTGTTGCTGGTGGAACTCCTCTGTTACGAGTTGCTTTGTGTTCTCTTCAAAATTCATATGTCGAAGTCCTAAGCCCAGTGCTTCTGAAAGTGATCTCCTTTGGAAATAGGGCCTTCGCAGAGGTGGTCAAGTTACAATGAGGTCAGTTAGGTTGGACCCTAATCAGAAATGACTATTGTCCTCATAAGAAGAACTTTGGATACACATGCACATAGAAAAAAGATAATGTGAAGAGAAAGAAGGAGAAGACAGCCATCTATAGGCCCAGGAGAGAAGCCTGAAACAGCGAGTCTTCCTCACAGCCCTCAGACGGAACCAGCCCTGCTGACACCTTGGTTTTGTACTTCCAGCCTCCAGAATTGTGAGACAATCACTTTTTCTTGTTTAAGCCACCCAGTTTGTAGTACTAATACTTTGTTACAGCAGCCCTAGCAAACTAATATGCCATTCTTATAGGTCCTAATATTTATCAGCATTTATAACTGTGTTTATTTGTTTCCTGTTTATCTCCCTCACCAGATGATAGTCTTTAGAATGGTGGGAACTGCATCTCTTTTTATTTATTTAACATTCTCAGCAACCACTGTACTAATGCTGGCTCAAGGGAGGCCAAGTGTTCACCAAAAGCAGAAAGGAAATTTTGGTGATAAGAGCAAATATTGGATAGTTTAAAACAGATATTGGAAAACTACGGTCCCGAGGCCAAATTTGGCCCACCTCCTGTTTTCGTCAGACTTGAGAGCTCAGAATGGTTTCCACATTTTTAAATGGTTGAAGACAATCAAAATAAAATAATATTTCAAGACATGTGAACAATATATGAAATTCAAATTCACAAATAAAGTTTTGTTAGAACACAGACACACTTATTTACATGTTGTCTAGGGCTGCTTTCATGCTACAGAAGGGAGTCAAGCAGTTGTGACAAAGATCACATTGTCCACAAAGCTTAAGATATTTACTATTAATATCTGGCCATTTACAGAAAAAAAGAGGTTTACTGACTCCTGTTCTAGAATGTGTTCTATGGGCTCCCAGAACTGCCCCGGGGTACACAACTCTTGGGTGACATAATGTTGTGAGTGCACACTCTGGTGCATATCCAATGTGCTAGAACATTCTCAAGACATCCATGAACCAGCACATTCACCTTTTCTCTACCAACAAGTCCACAACAGACTATTGAACAGTTCTTCTCCCAAGGAGAACATAGTTCTAGTTTTATTATTAAGGTTGATAAACAAAAGGGAATTGCTGATTAAAAATTTTCAACTGTCATGAAATTTTGCTACAATGTATATATTGTGATAAATGAGGGAGTCTATAAATGAAAGTGGAATGAGTTATGATCATTGCAGACATATCTAAATTTGTCTATCCAAAATTAACATGCTATCATAGAAGTCAATTCTTCAGTACAAATGTAGCTAGTATTGGCTGATTTAAATAAGGACAAAAGATAGAAGTAGGTGTTATTCAAACGGCAGCACCATTTACCTTCGGTGGACGAACAAACCGAACACATTCCAGCCATGGGGTTATAAAGGGCTTCCCACACACAGCACATGATTTTTCCTGAGCGATTTTGTTCTTGACCTCTGGGTACCATTCTAAGGCATGCATTAGGAGAGGATTCTGTTCTGCTAGCTCATTCATTATAAATCGTAATGTTATTTCCTAAATTGAAAAAGAAGAATATGGTTCCTCAGGTTATTTTTTTCTTTCTTTCTTTTTTTTTTTTTGTAGCAGTCACTTTCTGACCAAGTCATGTTATTTTCCAAATAACTATCTTATATTACATTGATTGCCATTTCAGTAGATCAAATATTTGGTTTATTCCTCAGATATTGTTAAATTAAGACTCTGTAGTATAGTTAATGAATTACGTTATAAATGACTGTCACTGCACATAAGTTTGGTTTTCATTAATGGAAGAACAGTAAGTTGTATGCACTGTAATATTTCTATGTCTCTTACATATAACAATCCAAGTCATAATAAATTTACAGTCCATATTTTATAAAGTTAGATATAGTTTGGGTCCAAATTTGGTACCTCTCATTACAATAAGCAAAGACAATACAAACTTTGAGACTGGATTCAAAAATTGATTCTGTCATATTCACCAAGGTCTAAATCCTCTACTTAAACTGTGGTGCACAGACTGCATCACCTGGGAGCTGATTAGAAATGCAGACTCTCAGACACACTCCAGACCTACTGAGTCAAAATCTGCACTCTAACACGGTCCTCAGGTAATCAGTATGCACATTAAAGGTTGAGAGGCAATAGTCTAAATCACTTGCAGCACTGAGCACCTGCATAGCGTCATCTTGGTAAAGAGCAATGATTTCTATGAACTAAATCTCTGAATTCAGTCTGTGCTAAACCTATGCACATAGACGTGATCAGAAAACTGACTTTGTGCAATAATAATATTATATTTTTATGGTGCTTTTTTTAAAATTTTGGGATATTACAGGGGTACAAACATTTTGGTTACATAAATGGCTTTTGTACCATTACAGTCAAAGTTATAAGTGTACCTGTCCCCCAGATAGTCTGCGTTGTACCCACTAGGTATGAATTTACCCATCCCCTCCAAGGAGATGGTGAAGAAATGGAAGTTACCTTTCACTAGGCCATCAGTGACATCATCATCCCCAAATAAAAATATATTATATAATACATAGAATTAAATCTTCATTTGACCAAGCAAAGAAAACAAATAAACATTTGCCAAAGCCCACTAAATGTTCTCCATTGTTTATGCCAGTAGCATGGAAGTCCTGTATAAACAGTCCTGTTTGTTACACAAACACTGCTTGAAATTTTAATAGTGTTTGGGGATGGTTTATTTGGGACTTTTTTTTTCTGACCCAAGTGAAAGATTTCCCCATAGTATTAAAATAGTCCACATCAGGCTCTGATAGGAATCTCTAGAAATACATCCATCCATACATACTCTTTCACTTATTGACCCCAGTTCAAATCTTGAACAATTTTAAAAATAACAACAGAATTCTATAAAATGCTCTGTCCCTGTTTCCTGTTCCCCTGTCCCTCCCAGTTAAAACGAGCACCCAGCAAAGCTGCCTTGATACAGCAAACAGCCCTGGCTGGCTAGGTTCCTAAACTGCATGACTTCCTACCCACTTAAGTGCGTTCTTCTTGCTAGTTACAAGACTGAGGTCCTGCTTTCACACTAACATTATGGGGACTCCTAAATCAGAGTCACCCTCTCTGTCACCCTCTCTCCAACTACTTAAGCAGAGCATAGCGTGTGATTCTGAGTGATATACTTATCGTACAGGTGGGCTTTCACCTACACGAACTCAGTGACTAGGTCTCACTATAAAGCTGCAGAAAACTTATAGAGAAGGATTCTCTCCCCAAAATAGGAGATGGTAGAAGAATTTACTGCAGTAGATGGGACCTGTGGATAGGTTCATCCAGATCACTTTTTCCATTTATGATTTCTGGACCCAGGCATGTTTGCTGCACTCAGTCTATCACTTGACAACTCTTACATCACCCATTAATTTATATTCTTCTCCTACTCGCTGCCAATGGGTTACTTTGGAAGAATAACATATACCATTAAAATATAAAGCTATTACTTGGAAATGTGAGGGTATATAAAATAAGATACTGTTGGCATGACCAAGAGTATTTTTTAGGACACCTCTTAGAGATACATTCAGTGTGGTTTTTGAGAATAGACAATTTAATGATAGTCTGATTCTAGTGTTATTTAAAAGTCAAGAAATCTTTTGTGGCTAAATTGTTCCTTTTGAATACTATACATGTTATTTCGTGAGAATATCTGTAAGCTAACTATATACATTCAAATCCATCATAAATTGAAATGAGGTTGCATGTGTATGTATTCTTTTACTTTTCCTTATGTGTGATTTTTATTTTATTATTAAATACTATTAAATAAATATTATTAAATAATTTTATAAGTATAAAAATTATAAAGTATTAAAAGAATGAATACTTAGAAGGAACAATAAACTTTGGAACTATGATATAATCAATCCTTACTGTGTGTATGACAGGCACTAAAATACTGCATCAAGAGCAAATATTCTGAGCAGAGTCAACTGTTAGTAGATACATAGGTGCAAATCCTGTCTGTATGCCATATTATCTATGTGACCCTATTTGGACAAGTCCTTAACTTCTCTGATCTTGGATATCTCATCTAAAATAGAGATTTTTCCCAACACTAACCCATAGAGTTTGGAGAATTAAATTAGATAACAATGGTAAAACACTTAAACTGGCATGTATCATAATAATGCAGTATATTGTGGTTAATAATTTATATAATCTGGTCATTAGCATTAAATTTTAGTTCATAAATCTCTGAGGTGAAGCAGTTTGTAAAAATCTTTACCAAGTCCCTAGTAATCATGTATTTGAAAAGAAAAATTACAAGATGTTTTTAAAATAAAAAGGAAAGAAAATTTTATAAAATTAAAAAAAAAAAGAAAAACAAAATCTTTACCAAGGCATAGCCTGTATCAAAGCCCTATAATTCTTTGACACTCAAAGGAGTTTAATCAGTAACATTGACCAAATGCCCAGTACAAATGCCTTTAAGTACAAATATAAAAAGTATAATCAATCTGTCACCTAAGAAAAATTTTTACAGGTAAGTTCAAAAATGCTCAAATAATTTACATACTGCAAGCAAAAATAGGTATTTCTACTAAATATATTTTAAAAATTAACTCTTGTGCTCCTGGACCTTACAATTTCGAAAATTAGAAGACAGAAATACTGCTCTCTCATTTTGAATCTTGGTTCTAGCCACAGGGCAACATTCTTGCCCTTGAGGGCTCTCTGTCAGACTGCTACCACAGCATGTTAATTGCTCACTCAGCCTCCTCCAGGAACCAGGACTTCTTCCAGACCACAACTACCCTGTCTCAGTTTCCTTCACTTTTCTGCCCCCCCCCATCTAAGCCAATATTGCAGCAGGGGGTCTGGAGTCCAACTGCTGCAGTTGGCAACCTTGTCCCAACACTTAGTAGCTCTGTGACCTTGGGCAAGTTATCTGACCTCTCCGGATCTCAGGTTTTTTATCTATAAAAAGGGAACAACAATGCCCCTATCTTTTCAGGATTAACAAAGGAATAAATTAGTTTATTCCTGCTAAGTGCTTAGAACAGTGCCTTACCCATAGGAAATTTAAAATAAGTGTAAGCTACTACTATTATTATTATTCTGAAATGCTGGTGCAAGAAGAAAAAAATAGTTTATAAAGGAGTTTTAAAAATTAAATACTACAGTTTTAAAAATTGTTTACAATTACATTTATTTATTTATTTATTGTTTTTGAGACAGAGTCTCACTCTGTTGCCTGGGCTAGAGTGCCATGACGTCAGCCCAGCTCACAGCAACCTCAAACTCCTGGGCTCAAGCAATCCTACTGCCTCAGCCTCCTGAGTAGCTGGGAGTACAGGCATGTGCCACCATGCCTGGCTAATTTTTTCTATATATACTAGTTGGCCAATTAGTTTCTTTCTATTTATAGTAGAGATGGGGTCTCGCTCTTCCTCAGGCTGGTTTTGAACTCCTGACCTTGAGCCATCCGCCTGCCTTGGCCTCCCAGAGTGCTAGGATTATAGGCCTGAGCCACTGCCAGGCTTACAATTACATTTCAAATGAAAAATATTTTTACACAAGAGTAGAAAAGAATGCTATTTGTGGAAATAGTCTCTGAAAGGGAATAAGTTTGAAAAGAACTAATCAAACTTTAAAAGCTACCAGTTCTTTCCTAGGGATACTATGGACATGAGCTAGAAATTCACCATGAGAGTGGTCATTGTAGCTTTGTTTATAAAGGCCAAAAATCTAGAAAGTTATTAATAATCTAAACATCCAATATTTAAAACTATTATGGGGAATTAGTTAAAAATATTATGATGTCATCATATAACAAATTGCCATGCATTCATCAAAAAAAGATATCATAGTCTGAGTTTGGGGATTTTTTTTAACTGGTTGAAAAGATATTCACAATACTTTGAGTGAAAAAAAACAAGTCTTTAGTGTGTAGCTTTTGAACTCATCTTTAATAAAAAAATGTATATATTCTGGATACATAGAAAGTTTTAAAAGAATAAATGCCAGAGAGAAGAATGGTTATATCTCTGCATACTGAATTCTTAATATTTTTATCAACTTCTAATGACTTATTTTTTTCTAATTTCTCTAAATGAGCTCATATTAATTTTGTAGTATGCAACTGTTTAAAAATCAGCATATTACAAGTTTTTATTTCCTTCTTTGCTCATCTGTGTTTTCTAGTTTTCTGTATGTAGTAAACATGTATGACTTATGCAATAAGAAAAAAAAATTTTTGAAAACAAGGTTGGTTGTTTCCTGCAGCCAGGAAAGTTGAATCCTATGCAATTCCTAAAAGTCTTATAACGATCCTGCACATTCAGCTACACACCCAAGTGGATCTGGGAACTCCAAATTCATGATGCAAAATCGCAGTCCAATGTGGAAAGATCTGCAACTTTGGCTTGTTTATTACCAAAAGAGCCCTCTCATGTGCTTTCCTGTTCCTTCTTTTGATGCCATCAACTGGTTTTACTGAAGTAAACATGCTTTCTGGATTATATTCCCTTATCCAGTAGGGATGGTGACAAACAGAGGATGGGAAAGGCAAAAACCTCACTAAGAATAAACCACATACGTAGTGAGACAACATTGAAAAAATACTCGAAGGCTAAAGTCAAAATGAATTTCTCTCTTTTCTTTTCATCCAGCAAAATATTTCCATTTCTCTGAATTAAGTCACTCTGGACATCAGAGAGGGTTACACACTAGATTCTGTAAGCAAGCGGAGAAGATTACGTGTAGGATCTGCATTGCCAATGCACTAGGGTTACGTTAATCATTGGCTGGCTTGGCGAGAATGTTTTAACTGAAAACTCTTTAAAACTTAAATCATGGCTTTGGTGTGAAGACTTGTGTGAATGAAGTAAGGCTTCACCTGTAGGCTCCAGACATCGTCCTCCTTGAGTGCAGCGAAAATTGGCTGCTTTAGGAACAGTGGGTTTCCCTCACAGTAGAATTCCCTCAGCTTCAGATTCTGAAACTTTTAAAACAAAATAAAAATGTTATTGCACAACAAAATAACAAACTTTACCTCTGAAGCTACATCTTCAATAAAATAAGATTAAAATAACTTTATTTAGGATTTGTAATTCACATTAGCATTTTTTTTTTCTTCGAGACAAGGTCTCACTCTGTTGTGCTTCTGTGTAGGCTAGAGCACAATGGCATCAGCCTAGCTCACAGCAACCTCAAACTCATGGGCTCAACTGATCCCCCTGCCTCAGCCTCCCCAGTAGCGGGGACTACAGGCACATGCCACCATACCAGGCTAAATTTTGTAGTTTTTGTAGAAATAGGGTCTCCTTATGTTGCTCAGACGAGTCTTGAACTCCTGGCTTCAAGCAATCCTCCCCCCTCAACTTCCCAAGGGGCTAGGATTACAGGATTACAGGCATGAGCCAACATGCCCAGCCCTTGGTATTTTGACTGAAGTATGCTTTAGTTGCTAGAAACAAATATTTATATGCAAATATAACATTTGCAAATGTTATATTTGTTAGAAAACCAAGCATAATGAAAAATAACATTCTAAAATATACCAAACTCCAGATCTCAAAGACTATCTTATGATCCATATATGTTCAATGAGGAAGGTAAAAGAAATATTAGAACATTAGAATGTTCTCATTATAACCTGTTGTACATAGTGAAAATAAAGACAGAAGGAAAATGTATGCTTCATAAGGATATTTAATCTTCTACGTAGAAAATCTAAAACCAACTGGAGTATACCACTTTGGTAGAAAAGTAAGAGATTTCCTTATGTTAATACCATCCCTTGCCTCCCAAGAACCCATGTGGCTTCTAAAGTTAAACTAATTTAGGGAGTTACTTTTCTGAGCCTAAATTTCAGTTATAAAATGAAAACAATAAGACCTATCTTCCGTGAAATGCTGGTAAACCAGTTCCCCGGAAAGAAAAAATTAAAAAGCCCTGATTTGTGGTGTGTGTTGGCTGCATGGTGTAAATGCTCCTACAATAGCTGATTTAAGTCACTGAACACAGAGTTGCAAAGAGACATGCAAAATCAGCTCACCTGAGCCAGGATGAGCTGGCTTCACACCACTGCATCTCACAATATTTATGGGAGAATTAGGGGTATTGCTGTGATTTCAGCTCAGGATTTGAAACATATAAAGCACTCACCAAATTAAACATAATTGCTTTAAAACATCTTTCTGGGGCATCATGTCATTAAGTCTCAAAAGTTACAGGAAAGCTTGTACAACATAGACAAGATTTTAAAATAAAATATAGAGCTCAAGGCCACGCTAGTGTCACCTTGAGTCCTGGTCTCAAAACAGACATTCTAATTTTCTGAATTCAGTTTCCTGTGTTATCCATCTCAAAGGAAAACCTAAAGAGTTGAATTCAATGGCAGCCCTAAGTGAGTGCTTGGTGTGCTCAAATGAAAAGGGGCATTCCTTGTGCTTATTGTTCTATATAACTGTCATGTTTTCCTCTCTGTCCTAAAGAATATCATTTGGAAATTTACTCACAGGCCTTTTTATAAAAAAACAAAACAAAACAAAAAAAAAACTGATGCAAAGTTGAACACCTTGGTATATCTAAATATCATTTCAAATTTGGCCATGGGTCAAAGGGCATGCATTTCTCTTCTGGGGTTATGTTTTTCTTTCTTCAAGTCCTGTCACTATTCTTCCATCAAACACAGCAACTCACTGTACACAATCTATCAGAAAGAAGTTATCTGAATGGAAAGAAAATTCAATAATAGCCTATGCCTTACAGCAGTTAAGTCCCAATAAGCTAAAGTCACACAATCTCTTGATGTCCCCTCTCAGTAAGTTGCAGTGTGACATCTTTCATCCCCTCTTTCTACATACACTATTTAGTTTCCTGTCAGCCTGGCTTCTTGAGAAAATAACATTCTTTGCCATTATAGTCACTCCAGCAGTAAAATCAGCTACATTCTCCCCTGATAACAAAACGCTGATAGGGCTTCTCAGAGTCTTCGCACATCCCTATTGAAACAACTAGTGTTATGAGTTTAATCTCAATTGGGGCCATTTTGCAGGCATTTTTGTTGTCACAACAAAACGATGGGGAGAGTGCTGCTGGCACCAAGTTGGTGAAGGCCAGGGATGCTGCTGAGCATCCTACAGTACACAGGACAGCCCCCACGGTGAAGGATTATCAGGCCCAAAATGTCAATAGTGCTGAAGTTGAGTGGCCTGGTTTAGAGGCACAAGAGCATAAAATGTCACCGAACCCATTGGATCTGGAAAGGAGATTGGCAGCTGGAGGGAGATGAAGGTTCAAAGGAAGCTTTTTATTTATTTAACAAAAAAGGCTTGAGTATGAGATGGTGTATGCCAATATAGAGAAATTTAGGGAGAGGAGAAAGAAGGAATAACTAAAAGAGAAATGATCAGGTGAAGAACAGAATGATCTCTGGATATTAATGTCTTTTAATTATCTTCTCCTTTGTGGCCAGAGGGAAGGAAGTACAAGTGTACCCATGGATAACTTTGAAGGTGCAGTGTTGGATGGTTGAAGGAGTCAGACATGATCCCTTCAATTTTGTCTTTGAAACAGAGAGGAAGACTATATACTAGGTGAGGTCTGAGGCAAGATGTCAATGTGGATGGAGACAGGAAGAAAGTAGTAAAGGTTTGGGATGTCCTACAATTTTCAGAAAAGGAACCTGGACAGGGACACACCAAAATATTGTACAGAAGTGCTGAGGGCTCCATGGTCATCTACATATTAGTGGTGATGGCCCTTGTCTGCGTAAGTATGTGCTTCCCTTTAGGATTCAGCACCCCAGATCCAACATTAAGAATTTGCATCTATTCCTGAAAATGCCCTGGAGGAAAAAGTTAAAAAAAATAAAATAAAAAGAAGTAAAAACAAACAAAAAAGAATATTAAAAAAAAAAAAAAGAATTTGCAGAATGAGTATGTCATAAAAGAAGCAAATTAGCATATTTCATGCACTACAAATTAAAGGCCATAACTCATCCTTTATGATTTAGTATGGATAGAGAAAGAAATAACAATATACAGCTCTAAGGGACTCGGAGTAAAAGGAGAAGTAGAGGGACATGAAGTCTCAATGACCGAAATGAAAAGATGTGGATATAAAGCAAGAAGAGAGCTGAACATAGGATGAACCAATGTGCATATTGCCACACTGGACTTTAATTCTTCAAATTTAGAACAGGGGAAGGTGATGCCAAAGTCTAGACGTGACTGTGCTTGTGTTTGCTGAAATGAAGACTGGAGAAGCTCATTAAAATCAAGGATTCAAACACAAAACTTTGAGGCTAAGTTTTTGTATCAACTACTTTCCTGAAAAACGGTTGCAAATGTTTGGCTGTCTACCGGAAATCTCCAGCTTGAAGTCCCACAAACACCTGAAAATTTGAACACTGCAAGCCTGAACTCACGTTTCCCCCACATTTTCCCTTTTCCTTTTTCTAATCACTCACATCAAATTTCTCACCATGTGCTGTCAATTCTATCTTCTTAAAACTTTCAGAATCAATCTTCTCTTTCCATCCCCGCATCCCATTCACCTCCTCACCACCCCTCACAATCTTCTCCTACTCCTTGTTCCTCAGCCTTGATGAGGGCTTTGTCTTATGTGAACCATTGCAATAACACCGTAATTGGTCTCAGTGCAAACTTTTCCTAATGAAATGGTCTTTTAAAATGAAAGTCTGGTCATACTACAGCCTTGCTTAAAACTTTTCAAGGCTCCCTTTTGTCCATAAGGATAAATTCAAAAGCCCTCATGTGTCCTACTCAGTTCTCCTTGGCCTACTCTACCGTGTTTCCCTGAAAAGAAGACCTACCCATAAAATAGGCCCTAGCAGGATTTCTAAGCATTTGAACAATATAAGCCCTACCCCGAAAGTAAGACCTAGTGATGGGCGTGGCTACACAGCGTATCTGCACAACCCATGCATTTGGTCTCGGAGCGGTAAAGAAGATGAGTAGCCCTTCTCATTTGCCCCATGAGAGCTCTATTGCTTGACATGAGAGATTGGGGCCAATGGTTCTAAAGGAAATAGAGTTGCAAGAAACTCAGGATGGAATTGGGGGTTTGGAAAGTTATGATGATGTTGCAGAAGAAGACGACTTAACTATATTTGAATAAATGTAAATTATTGTACCGTACTTAAAAAAAATATACATTCCCTGAAAATAAGCCCTAGGATGTCTTCTTGAGGAAAAATAAATATAAGACCCTGTCTTATTTTGGGGGAAACATGGTACAACAGTATAGCCTGGTAAGCCCCATCTTCATCCTTCTAAGCCAACCATACAGAGGTACTTAGAGATCTCACAACAGGCCTGTGATTTATCTCACAGTTATTATCCATGCTATACTTTTTTACTCTCCCCACACCCAGATCATCTCTTCCAGACTAAAATATCCTGCCTCTAAGCTTCTCCAGCCTCTGTCAAATGTTTCCTTGTCTCCTCCTTGGGCCCCATGTATAAATGCATCATACCACCTATAAATACTCTGAGATAATCATTATTGAAAACTCTACCTTCATCTATCAGACTTGAGTCTCTTTAGAAACTATGTCTTAAGAGACTAAATAAAGCAAGCTCAAAAATTCAGTATTGAATGCATAGCTGATGTTCCATAAATAAATGAACATCTTCTCAGAAACCCTAAGCACATCCAGCTACCCCAGGCACCCAAGATTTGCAAAGGCCTTCATCTCCAGACTTGGTAAATTCTTATAACTGTTCCCACAAAGCCCCAGGCCTCAGGAACAATAATACAAATTCAGCAAGTCCTTCTGTCGCCTCAGACCAGCCTAAAGTAATGGAGGAGGCCAGTTTTAGCAAGAGCAGTTTTAATGTAAACAGAGAGAAAGGAGGCTGAGATTTCACATGGAATTAAAAACAGAACCAATAAGCTGGCTATGGCAAATTACCCTGCACGCTGCAGGCTGTCTCAAAGCTCACAGTTACCCCTTTAGTGGTAAGTGGGATT